GCGCGTGCTGTCCTGGCACGGCGGCTTGGGGGCCGGCTGGCGTGGCACCGCAGCCCGGGCAGGGGTCCCACCCCCACGACGTGGCACCCTCCTGGGAAACGCACCCGACCGGGCGGCTGCGCCAATTCCTCCTGCTCCGTTCCTGCTGCTCTCCCACAGCAGAGAGCAATTCCTTTTTTGTTTTTTTTTTTTTTTTAAAGGTCCATGCAGAAGAAAAAGTGGATTTCCATCGTCTTTGCAAAGCAAAGGTGGGTTTGTGCCTCAGGGAAGCAGGCAAACACTGGCATGGAAACGCTCACGATACCGTGACCCAACTCACGGCGCTTTCCCCACCTGCGGCTGCTTTGCCACCGCATCCTCGAAAGGAAAAACGGTCAGGTTGTGCTTCCCAGGCTGGACACCTTCTCCAGCCGGGTTTCTGTTTAAAATTCGCCGCCACCCTGAAAGGTACGAGAGTTCTAACCCAGATACGTTTTTCCTCCTCTCCCTCTCCCCGAGCTGTAACTACGAGACACGATTTGTCATTCCGCAGACGCGCCGGTGAGCCATCGGGCCCGTCGCCTCTGCCAGACTTTTTGGGAGGCTCGGGTTTACGTCCAGCCGCCCTCGCCCGGGTGCCATGCCCTGAGCCCCTTTGCAGAACGGCTGCAAAGCCGAACCCGCAATTCAAAAGCCTATCGAAGCCTTGACCCCAGAGAAGTCCATGGGAAAAACAGAGGCGACTCGAAGGGTCCTGCACAGAAGTAAAAACCTCGAACACGTTCTGCAGGAAGCGCTGCCAAGCGTGTGCTGGTTTTATCCTGGATCAAACAAGAAAGCCTCCTCCTAAACACCGAGCGCTTCAGCTGCCACAAGTACGCAAAAATACGGTGGAGAGACATTTGTCAGCGCCAAGGACCAGGCCTGCCCTGGCTAACCGGCCAAAAACCAAACCAGTTTTTTGTTAGGAAGGTGAACAGAACAGTATCGGCCTCTGAAATTAATCTGCAGGTGAGAGAGGAGAAAATGACCCGTGGTACCTTGCCCCCCCCGATCCTTGCGGG